ATTATACAAGCTACAGGTTAAAAAGCTTATAATGTCAGATAAAACATCAAAAGCTTTAAAATATCTAAAATATATAGCTTTTAATGTTCTGTTTAAAAAGAAGAAGAGAGTTAATTTCTTTAAAAGATGAGTCTTAAATGTTCCATTCCTTAGCTCACTGATAAAAAAGTCTCTGCTTTCCGTAATTGCTTTTAGCAAGAGGAAGACGGAAATCTACTGTATCAACTGGTGGTAAGGCAACACCTTCAGTAAATAGTGATAGCTTGACATTTAGCGAGAGAACCATCGCCTTGCGTCTTTCAGGGTTCAAGGTCATCTTGTTATTGAATGAACTGGGGCAGCGTTGTATTTTTGAAACGAGTGAAAAAAACATAGTTCGCTCCTCTGATTGGGCGAAATCGCTTTTCACCTCGTTTTGCAACAATTTTTCGAAACAAGTTGCACGTTTTTGCTGTCCTTTTTACCTTAACTTCAGGCCACGCAACACTGCTGCAAATCTAGTTCAATAGCGACATTGCGTGATGTACCAACCACGAATCAAACCTGTATTGCAATCAGGCTGTTGCAGGTTGTTCAAAGTTGCTGCATCATAAAGTAGAGAGTAGTTCTACTTTTTGCAAACAACTCCTTGTTCGTTTTACTGTGGCTTAAATTAAAAGGCGATTTTGCGCGTTTTACCACCCACGCTCAAACCTGTTTAGCAGCCATTCAGTTTGTTGCAAGTTGCATGAATACTGACTTCTGAATGGATAAAGTTAAGCAGGACTCTCAAGTTTTGCGTTGGGCCGGTGAAACGCGCAACAGGTACAGCTTTTGGTGCAAAAAGAAAACTATTCTCATTCGCATAAAAGCCGCCGCGTGACGATTTAATCGACTAGATTACTGCGTACTCCCTCGGGAAGCAGTCTATTGGTCCTTTACGGTCCCCAGGGAAATTCCCTAGGCCTTTTATACGCCCTAGCAAACAAATTCGCCGTCTTCTCGCAAGTCTACTCTACAACGGGCAAGCAAGTTTCCCCACCCTCCTCCCCTTCAGCGGCGCTGGCAAATTTTCTCTATCATCCCACCCTATGCCTTATGCAAAATTTTTCACCCATAACTTATCCATCAAAAGGCATAAGGTGGCTTTTATGCGAATGTGAATTAGTTACTACTGACTTTACTTTCTCCAACAACTTTTCGCATCATGCAACAACCTTTGTTGCAAGATAGGTTTGATTTCTGAGTGGTAAAATGCACAACATCGCTATATTCAACTTGTTTTGCAGCAAAGCAAGTTGTACACGTTTTTGTTGCCCGTTTTATCGCACCTTTAACGTCTGACGTACATTAACAATTAGTCCCAGGTGTAACCATTTTATGCAACCGGTCCCTGTTTGTTGTTGGTTCTCTTCCTTGCTCCGAGAGGTTTTTCTCCGGGTACTCCGGTTTTCCCCTCTCCTCAAAAACCAACATTTTCAAATTCCAATTCGACCAGGAATCAGGTAGACGAAGAACGACTATGTTTATGTGCTAGCTGCAAATCGTTATTTATTTATTTTATTTAGATTATATATTAGGGAATACGGTTAACGGCTACGGTTGGACGAGTACGCGGGATCTCGGTTGAGCTTTCTGCGCATGCGTAAAAGTTATGGGATGGCGTTTTGCTAAGCGTTTTGTTTACCGTCGTGTTTCACTACGGTAAGTTTTGACAGCTTTTCTCGTCGTAGTCAAAGATCTACAACGTGTGACTTCAAAGGTGAGAATTTCATATGTTACTCAAAGAAATAACACATTTCTTTTTCTTTTCGAGTTATTTTCTGAGTTTACCAGTGAGCTTCGTTTGTTTCTTCAAGAAGTGACCCTGATTTCTTTTTTTTTTCGTTTTATTTTCAGAGTTTACGAAGCGGTGCGGGAGTGAAAGCCACGGTGGAAGTTCGTAAGTAAACCGATTGTTTTGTAGTAGATCGCTCATACTGGTTTGTAGTAGATCGCTGCATATGCTTCGACATGAAATAGGTTGAAATTTTGCAAATGTTTTTAATTGTTTGTTTGCTTATTGTTAAAAATTGACAGGGTCACTACCTCGGCCGCCGCGGACAGCTTTACATGTTCCTTAAGGGCGTCAAAAATATTCTGGGACCTGTAAAGCGTTAACCAATAAGGGATATCTTCTTTGTCTACTCTAAATCTAGCTCTAACTTCACTGCTGTCAAAGTTATCGATGCTGAAAGGCTTGTATTCCCAGTGAAGAAAATTTAAATTTGTGGACTCGCACTCTTCGTAAAGAATAAGAAACTCCTCTTCACTGATCAGTCCATCAGAAAAAGCGCAAACTAAGGCTTCACGAAGTTCATGAAATGACATTTTTCACACGATGACCGTCGGTAAGTGATTCAACCGTAGCAGGTCGCTTGTTTACAATCTTAATCTCATTTTTTTCGCGCCAAACGGTTCGTACTCGATCCAATCCACCATCGACAAGAACCAGACCTTTCCGACTCGTCCAACCGTAGTAAGCTCGCTCAATAAAAACTATTAGTTTATCTATGACCTCACTACAGCACACAAGACCAACCTGGTCCCCAGGGTCTTCTCGCCATGCATCACATGTGTTATGTGTGGAGTGACAGCGGAAGTAGAGATAGAAGTAAGCCATAAGAACGGGGAAACGTCCCACACTTTTCCCAAATAGCTAAAGATATTTTTTGCCCCATTCAAATTACGAGTTATAAAGAAACACGATGAAACGGCTTTACCTACTGCCAACGACACAATCATCTGAACTGAGATAAGATGGGGAAAGAATTCAAGCTCTCCGCGAAACGATCTCTGGGATAGTTTGGTTAGTTACTTATAACTTGCCATGGTTATCTTGAACCCCATCGACCAATTATAACTAAGCATGTCCGACCCAAACTATCCCAGAAGTCACTTCACTAAAAGCTAGTACCCATTCTCCCGAGAGTTTCTGACGTGGGGAGTTTTTTTGGACGATTTTGTTGCCGTCGCCATCGTCGTTGCTAACTGAGCGCATTAATATCAACGTCGGACGTTACTGTTAACATCTGACTTTCACCGCCTGTCAAACTCTTTATTTTAAAGCCAGACGTTAGCTGTTGCGTCTGATGCATCTGTCTGAGATTTCATGCAACTGGCTCCTAAGACTTTCGTTCAGCAAACCGGATATCGAGCAGCTAGATATCACCGTTTCCTCGCCCTCACCCTCAACAGTCGGCACCCACTTACCTAAACCTAATCACACGCTAAAATAACAGCAGCAAACTTTATTTGAATGACTATGGCAAAGTATTAAAATATTACAGTGGCCATTGAAATTTAATTCGTAATCGTTTATAGTTTTAAAATAAGAAAAGAGAAAAAAATTCAATCATCACTTATTTTAACCTGCAATCCTAGAAGAAGTTATTCCGGATCCAAGCTTGTCTCTTAATTCAAAGCATGATGAATTAAATTGTTTCTGAATGTTAATAAAACAGTGAGTAGAATGGCCCTTTTATGCGTGTTTACGTGAGACTGGCAATTTTCACCACCTATACCCCCGTTTTTCAACAAAATCCTTCTCATTATTGCACTGTGTTGCGAATTCACATATGGAAGACTTCTTAACGTTCATTGTCAAAACGTGGGACGATATGTTTAAAGTTGCTCGTCTGACGTAAACATGCACAAGGGAAATTCATCAGATTTGAAAGCAAGGTCTCATTTGATAGTAGTCGTTGGAATGGGACTTTAGAAATTAAAGATCATGTCTCTTGTCGACAATAGCTTGGACGGTCTACTAACAATGTGTTTCATTTTCCAGTTTGTTACAGCTGCACAGTTTGCATAACCTTCCATCACGAGGTATATTGTCGTATCTACGTCACCCCTTGTTCAAGTCGTGAATTAAAGTTGTGATTCATGAGCTACAACTCAGAAGAGTAATACAAATCGTGTGTTAAGCCTAAGTTGCATTTGAACGATTCTTACAAGTGGTGAATGGGATAAATTTCATCGAAATTGCATGAATTATTCAGTAGTGACTCTGAGAACTGAGAGTTGCCGAGACGGCAGCCTCCGAAACCAGCCGACATTTCGCGACGTCACCATTGGTTTCCTGCAAAACGGCGTCTGAGAAACAAGCCGCGCAGAAATTCCATACTGATGACGCGACACCACCCAGATCTGGGTGGTGACGCGTGATCAGTATGGAATTTCTACAGTCGTTGCTCAGACGTCATTTTGCGGGGAAACCAGTGGTGGCGTTGCGAAATGCAGGCTGTTTTCTCAGTTCACGCGGAGGGGGGGCCCTGTTCAAGTTGGAAACGACTCGTAATAGTCGTGCAACTTGTGAAACCGCATCTCATTATTTTGGAATTCAGTGAGAGAAGAGTTGAGGAAACTCAATTTAAGTGGTCTGACTCGTACAAGTCGTGCACAACTGCATAGTAAAACTACTTCTGATATGGGACACTTCTAGAGTACGAAATGTGCACTGTAATTCACATGCCTCCACTTTTATTTATACGCAAATATTCTTCGAGCAACAACTATTAAATTTTTCCACTAACGAAAAGAAGCTGTAAACAATTAGGTTCATTTCCGACATTAAAGGACACGGTTTTAATAATAAGTGAAAATCACTGTTACAAATAATCTCGAATGAACCTGAGTGAAAAAAAAAAAACTGAAAAAGCTATTATTTCATAAAACTTTATTCGAGTTATGTCAAAAACAAAAACGAAATTTTTCGTCCTAAATGCTTCTCTTTCTGTATCTTCGCCAGGTACTAGAGACTTATTTACTTACTTACTACTTGCTACTCATTACTTATATTTATTTTGACATCTTTATTGTTGTACTGAACAAATCGGCCCTATGTTTCTATTAGTTCAACGACAAATACGCAAAGTTACTCCTGTATTTGTAAAAACAAACACGAGGGAGAAGGAGAAAAGGATCATTGTTTGATTAATCAACTTCTATTGTCCTTCCGTTAACCTCAACTCGTGAACATCTAATGTCACGTTGTCTCCAATAAGCATAAATGGCGCCCACTGCGTTATCTTAGCGAAACCGTTTTCTCTCATCCAGTTCATAGCTTGTTGAAGGGATTCGCTGGCACTATCCCCACGAACAAGGTTCTCGTAGAAACGACTCCTGAACTGCTCTGTTGCTTCGTCTTCTATGGCCCACAGTGCTGCCAACACTGAGCGCGCACCGGATCCTAAGAAAGCACGAGCAATTCCAACAACTCCCTCGGCACTGATCCGTCCTTTTGGACTGTGACAGCAGCTAAGGACTACCAGTTTGGCTCGCAGTTGAACTTGTGAAATGTTCTCCATAGTCAATAAGTAGTCTTCTTCTTGAGGTCTCCTATCAGTTAGGGGGGGAGGAGCAAGAACAATTTCACCTCTTTCGGCATTACCATGACAAGCAAAGTGTATCAGAGAGACCGAATGAATGTTTTGAAGGACCGCTTGCTTTGTGGCTTGCTTCCCTACCAGAGGTTCAGTACCGAACAGTTTTCCAATCATTTTTGCTTCTTCACTTGCAAAAGGCAACCTCGATATCCACCGAAGAATTCCATTGTATAACACCTCACCAACATCAGGGTCCCCTACTACCAGTACACCAGTCTGACTGTGATAGTCTGCCGGACTGTCCTGAATAAGCTTTAGAGTCGTCAAAGAGGGAACGATGCGAATCCTGAAAGACTCTGATAAACACTTTCTGCTTTCTTCCTCAAGCGCTGCAAATGGAACCTTGTAAAAGAGGCGATCAGGAACGATGATGATTTCAGGCTTATCAAGCAAGTCGGCTACAGGAGCAATGATCATTTTGTAGACAAAAGCAGGGGTACGCTCGGGTTGCTGGCTCTGGTCTTCATCATCTTCTTCAAGTGGGCGTTCACGCCCATCCTCCGAATAAGCGTCTGAGGGAAGCCAGGATCGATCCTCGCACTGTTCAGGAGCTAAGCAAAGTACCTCTCTGTAGATTTCGCGTGAAAGCAAGTCAGCCACTCTGCTTACTGATCCTTTGCCAACAAAAACGTCATTGACGTTTATTTGTCGGAAGAGCAAAGGGCTTTCTGCTTTTAAGACCCAAAACGTTATCCATTGTTTGCAGTATGAAATGTAAAGACAAGTACAGTTGCATTCTTTCTTCACGATACTTTCAATATCATCCCATCTTTGTGGAGTGACTGGTATTTCGTTTTGTACAGAGTATTGAGCTGCCATTAAGTCTGCAAGGGCCCTTGCTCGCCCATATTCTTCTAAGTAGAAAGCCTCATGAAGAAAGCTAGACTTACTAAGTAAATGACTGGCCACTCGGTAGTAACTAACTACGTGGTCAAAATACGATATCTTGTATTTATCTTGAACTTGGAGTCCGCGAAGAATCTCTCTCTCATTAATACTGGCAAAGATATTTGATTTATCTTCCCATATGTTGCCAAGTTTGAACATACATATTGAAAGAAGCAAGCAACAAAGTGACTCGTCTTCTTTGATCCCATGCTTTCTTGACCATTCAAGGGCTTTTTCGAAGCATTCTTTAGCCTTTACATATTCACTAAGATACAGAAAGATTTTTCCTAGTTTTCCATAGCAAAGGGCTTCTGTTTCCCTGTCGCCGATTTTCTCTGCGATTGCAAGTGCTTTTTCGCAATGTTCCTTAGCCTTGACATGTTCACCGAGGCTCAGAGAGAGAATTCCTATGCCTGAATAGCACTCGGCTTCTGTTCTCCTTTCGCCAGTTTTCCATGCGATTGCAAGTCCTTTGTCGCAATATTCTTTAGCCTTGACATGTTCACCGAGTCTCAGAGAGATGCATCCTAGTCTTGAATAGCACTTGGCTTCTATTCTCCTGTCGCCAATTTCCCCTGCAATTGCAAGTGCTTTTTCGCAATGTTCTTTAGCCTTGACATATTCACCGAGATTCAGAAATATAATTCCTAGGGCTGCATGGCACGCGGCTTCTCCTTTCCTGTTGCCAATTTTGCCTGCGATTGAAAGTGCTTTTTCGCAATACTCTTTAGCCTTGACATTTTCAGAGAGATTCTGGAAGATAATTCCTAGGGTTACATAGCATCTTGCTTTAGTTTCCCTGTCGCCAATTTTCCCGGCGATTGCAAGTGCTTTTTCGCAATGTTCTTTAGCCTTGACATATTCACCGAGATTCAGAAAGATAATTCCTAGGGCTGCATAGCACGCGGCTTCTCCTTTCCTGTTGCCAATTTTGCCTGCGATTGAAAGTGCTTTTTCGCAATATTCTTTAGCCTTGGCATGTTCACCGAGAGTCTGAAAGAGCCCTCCTAGGTTTGTATAGCACTTGGCTTCTGTTCTCCTGTGGCCAACTTTCCCTGCGATTGCAAGTGCTTTTTCGTAATGTTCTTTAGCCTTGGCATGTTCACCGAGAGATTCAAAGATTCCTCCTAGGTCTGCATGGCATATTGCTTCTGCTTCCCTGTCGCCAGTTTTCCCTGCGATTGCAAGTGCTTTTTCGTAATGTTCTTTAGCCTTGACATGATTATCGAGAAACTCAACGTTACGTTGTCTTTTGTACAATTCTGCCAATATGGAGGTTGTGTACAGTTCTACTTTTGTCGCGAAAACCGGTCGTAAAGTGAAGAGAGGTGTTGTGCTGCATTTTGCTTCGTGGCTTTCAACATTCTCAGAACTTTTGGCACACTTTTCGTTTATATTTCCCACGGTCTTATGCTTGAGAAGAAACAAAACTTCTTTACACATCTCAATAGCCTTTGGAACCGGATGTGTGTTAAGAAGATAAACGGAAGCGAAAAGAAGACTTGAGAGCAGAACTTCGTTTTTGTCATCAAAATCAACCCACCTAAGAAAATGAAACCGAAAAAGTTGAATAACAAAGAGGAAATTTAGTTATAAAGTCCACCAATCCTTCTTGATAACAATAAAAAAACCCATTGAAATTTTACGGAGTTTAAGGTAATGTCCTTTTTTTCTAAAAAGGATTACAATTTTTAATTTATTGTCTCTAATATGTTTGCAAGCGAGAACAAAACACTGAATGCTGTCAGAGATCTGTTATCAATATCTAGTTTCTATAAAGCTAGCAAACCCCTATTTTTAATTTTTTCTGGATCCGCCCCTGCGTATCGTAAAATATATGTCATACTTTTTGCTGTACATGGCGGGCCATGACGTTTTCAAATTTACCCAGCCTAGTCCCTAGCTGTTCGCTTGCCTTAGTTACTAAAACATGGAGCGACCTAAAACCACCTAAAACCATCTACAACCACCTACAACCACCTCAAAAAATTCAGCAACCACCTACAACCATCTACAACCACCTCAAAAACATCTACAACCACTCGCAAACAATCTAAAACCATCTAAAACAAGGTATAAATGTCTGAAATAAGGCGAGACGACAACATGTCACGTACATGAAATACGAGAATCGAACAAAACATCCACTTCCCCCTAAAATCTTACTCTCTCTCTGATCCCTTGTATCATCAACCATTAAGCTTAACACAAAACTTCCACCGCACTGTCCTCTTATGTTGGGAGGGCTGGGATATAAGTTTGATTTTGTTTCCTCTCTCTTGTGAAACTCATCGACAATTTGATTATAATTTAAGCAACAACTGATGGTTTGTGATTTTTAATTGTTTTAAAATCATGTTTAAAATGTCACATTACCAGTGATTACGTATGAGGCGAAATCTGGAAAATGTCTGGAAATTTCATTTATAATCTGAGCAGGAGCAAAACGTGATCATGAGTCACCATTGCAAAACAGCAGTGAAGCAGACTCCGAGAGAGAGAGAAACCCTACCTTGTGCGATTATGTAAACAAATGAAACGTGAACCAAAACGTCTCACTGGTACCCAGGGTAGAAAAAGCCAAATCAAGTCAGTCTTTCGACTACGAGTTTGTTATTTAATTTCATTATTTTTTGTGACTTGATAGTTTATTTTGTAAAGTTCTCTCAGTCTTTTAATATACCGTATTTATTCGATTAACCGCCCTGGGCGCTTATTAAATTTTTGGACCTTGAGAGTGGGCGCTTATTCGAGGTGGACGCTTATTCGAGGCTGGGCGCTTATTAAATTTTCACCATTTTCAGCAAGTGAAGTATGTTTATTTTGCAACAAAACAATAAATGCTGATAACAAAACGCGAAGAAGTAACAAAGCAAGGTTTCTGTAAAATGCTCTGAAGAAAACTCCGTCCTCGGCGAAGTCTCTTATTAGAATTTATTCACTCAAGTGGGTGGGGTGGGGGTGAGCGCTTATTTGAGTTTGATTGGGAGGAGGAGGGGTGGGCGCTTATTCGAGGTTGGGCGCTTATTAACTTTTTCTGCCTTTAGGATGGGCGCTTATTCGAGGTGGGCGCTAATTCGAGGTTGGGCGCTTATTCGAATAAATACGGTACTTAGCATGATCTCGCGTTTCATTTCGTGACTTACGCCAATGGTTGATGATACAAGGGACCAGGGAGAGTAAGATTTTTGGGGGAAGTGGATGTTTTGTTCGATTCTCGTATTTCATGTACGTGACATGTTGTCGTCTCGCCTTATTTCAGACATTTATACCCTGTTTTAGATGGTTTTAGATTGTTTGCGAGTGGTTGTAGATGTTTTTGAGGTGGTTGTAGATGGTTGTAGGTGGTTGTTGAATTTTTTGAGGTGGTTGTAGATGGTTTTAGGTGGTTTTAGGTCGTTCCATGTTTTAGTAACTACGGTTCTCCTGCTCCGTTGTCGGCGCGAAGTGTGGGAAAGAGTATGGGCGACTGAGTAGTTATGCTTCAGCAAACTTAACCCCATTTTGGATTTCCCGCATACTAATTAAGTGCCTTCCTCCATATATAATGAAGTGGATAGGTTTACTAATGAGCGTCAGTCTACTACAATAGGAACAATAGGCCGGCCCAAACTTGCCCGGTCTATACCCACCCTTATTGGTTCATGTAGAATCTATTCTATCTTCCATATAAAAGCAGGCTCTACGCTCAGCATATTACTCTTGCATTCACTTTGCTAAGGAAACAATTGTTCGAGTTCGCGTGTTTGAAAAAAAATATATGAACAAAACACATTCACAAAGTGGAGTTTAAAAGTCTTTATTTCAATTTAGTTTATGTCTTCTTATTTAGCTCTAAAACTAGGATATATATAAACAAAACACATTTACACAAAGCCTTTGGAGCTGAAAACTCTACTTCAATTTTGTTTGACGTTTTCTCCGTTCTATTTCGAGGACATGAAAAACTATTTATTAAGTCTGAGCGTTTCACGCGCCGTTAGTCAGGTAATTATGCGAATTCACAAGCCCACCGTTGAATACAAATTAGCTCTACAGCAAAAACCCCAAGGGAGCACCTTGAAGTATTAGTATATAAACAATTTTAAATAACTTAACAAGGATCAATTAAAACACGCGACTAATAATTGCTAGCAATAAAACCAGACAAGAGATACCGTTTTAAAAAACTTTATTAAAAAACAATGACAAAAAGAGTCAAATACACAACGATTTGAAAGGAAAAGGAATGAAAATTAATCTTTTGACTGACTATTACAATTCCGTTTTCTCCGCCCTATTTCGAGGAATAAGAAATAATCCTTCCGTGTCTACACAATTCCCCTATGGCCTCTAAGCCAAGAGTCCGACTTTCTTTGTTTCTTTCGTTTTGTCTTGTTCTTTGTAGTTGCTCTTTTAGCTTTTGCTTTAAAAGAGGCTTCATTTCTCCGTGATCTTGACAGTTCCTACACCGTTTCTTGTGTCTGCACTGGATTGCGATAGTAATTTTTTCCGGAATTATCCGCTTCACTTTCGTAAACGACCACTTTAACTTTAGGTTGTAGTTTCGCTCTTGTAAATACTGTCTTCGCTGTATGTGTTCTAACTGATGAACATCCGCGAGATGGTTAGCTAATCTGACAAGGTACTTCGCCCCGCAAGATGAAATCGGGCAGTTTCTGCAAACTCTCTTGTAAACCATGTTGACAGCTCGGTGACTGAATACAAATGACATCTTCATTGCAAATAGTCAGGTTAGAGTGTCAGAAAGGCCAAACACGGGCCAGAAAGGCCATAACCAGGGCTGAAAGGCCAAAACCAGGCCAAAAGGGACAAAAGGAGACAAACGGGCCATTTCTAGTCACGTGTCTTTATTTTTTCTCAGACACACGCGTGGGTGTCGCGCGTCGCTAGTCACGCAACGGCTCTCAACAGTGAAATCATCATTTTTATTACGTGTAATCACAAATAACAGTGCCTAATTAAAACAGTTTTGACCGTGAATTAGTAATTGGTATTTCAAATTTCAGATTTTTTTTTTGTTGTTGTACAAGTTTACTATCATTGTTATTATTTTCAAGTCAGCAGTAAAACACTCTTAAAGTTTGGTTGTTTACCAGTTTTTATTGAAACGCAATAATACAAAGGTCCAGGAAAAAAGTAATTCTATAACATTCATAGTTGGACTAGTCTTCATCTTGTGGAATGGGCTGCTTTTGATACGATTCGATTGGTTGGAATCGACAGAACTAGCGATCGATAAGCGAAAATTCTTACTAAATCGACTGTTTTAATTGATCCTTGTTAAGTTATTTAAAATTCTTTGTATACTAATACGTCAAGGTGCTCCCTTGGGGTTTTACTGTAGAGCTAATTTGTATTCAAGGGTGGGCTTGTGAACTCGCATAATTACCTGACTAACGGCGTGTGAAACGCTCAGACTTAATAAATAGTTTTTCATTTCCTCGAGATAGAACGGAGAAAACGTCAAACAAAATTGAAGTAGAGTTTTCAGCTCCAAAGGCTCTGTGTAAATGTGTTTTGTTTATATATATCCGAGTTTTAGAGCTAAATAAGAAGACATGAACTAAATTGAAATTAAAACTTTTCAACTCCACTCTGTGAATGTGTTTTGTTTATATATTTTTTTCAAACACGCGATCTCGAACAAATTTTTTCCTTAGCAAAGTGATTGCAAGAGTAATATGCTGAGCGTAGAGCCTGCTTTTATATGGAAGATAGAATAGATTCTACATGAACCAATAAGGGTGGGTATAGACCGGGCAAGTTTGGGCCGGCCTATTGTTCCTATTGTAGTAGACTGACGCTCATTAGTAAATCTATCCACTTCATTATATATGGAGGAAGGCACTTAATTAGTATGCGGGAATTCCAAATTAGTATGTGGGAAATCCAAAATGGGGTTAAGTTTGCTGAAGCATGACTACTCGAGTCTCTCTCGGTGACGTTTCAAGGTGACGTTCGCTGTGGCTCACAAAAGGGTACAGGTTTGACCAAGAGCCAAAAAACGCCTAGATAAGTAGGCTGATTCTTCTTCTCTCTTTTTCCGAAGATGAAGCGTTAAAAAAGGCTAAAATGTCGGATGGCTGGCTTTTGTGGGTCCGTCCGTACTGTCGCAATTTGTAATAATCATCGCACTTTGTAATACCTGTCGCAATTTGTAATAAATCCATCGTACTTTGTAATACCTGTCTCAATTTGTAATAAACCGTGTCGCACTTTGTAATAAAAAAGCTGTCGCAATTTGTAATAACTGTCCATCGCACTTTGTAATAAACTAAGCTGTCGCAATTTGTAATAATTCCATCGCACTTTGTAATAACTTTTTGAGAGTAATTATACTTACTTCGTCAACATTAATATAACGCCAAAATATGCATGGTACTTCATAAACAAAGATGATGACGTCTGCTAGCACGTAGCAACTCCGCTCATTCAAACATTTAACTTTATTCACAGTCCTAAACATTGTTTTAGATTAATGTTGATTAGTTATCTGATTTACGAAATGCTGTATTCTTAATCCATTCGCTCCTGGGGATTTTGCCAAAAAACGCGTTTTGAAGCTAGTCGAGTGGTTTTCTGGTCACTGTCGTGCTATAAAGAGCTAAACCTTACCACAAACCGGTTTACAGGTCGTACACTTCGCGGCCTTCTGATCCAGATGCAAAATATCAGCTTGCAAAGTTCGGGCGTGCGCAGAAAACAAAATTTCGAGATTTCGAGTTTTTGGGTTTAAAAGTGACACAGCAGTCTGGACTTTTACTTTTTGCTTTCTCTCCTCCCCTCTTTTTTCGCTTTTCTTGCCTCATTTTTTTTTTCTCTTGCTGGGCATTTTGTAGGCTTCGTTTTCGTGGGAAGAGTTTTTAGGAAAGCTTTTAGGATCTTAGGATTAGGTGAAAGGAAAGGTATGTGAGCAATGGAAGAAGATTTTCATGGAGATTTTCAGGTTAATGTCACATGGTTTTTCGCTTCTTTCTCCGGTGTCCTTGACTGAATTGTGCTCATTCTGGTATGGTTTGAAAGATCTCTTCCCTCTGCACAAGTTAGCAGACAAAGTTGT